AGAGAGGTGGTGGAGTCTCCATCCTTGGAGGTTTTTAAGACTCAACTAGACAAAGCCTTGGGTGGGATGATGTAGTTGAGGCTGGTCTTGCTTTGAGCAGGGGGTTGGACTAAATGACCTTCTGAGATCCCTTCCAATCTTCAGTTTTCTATAATTCTATGACCTGGAATGAGGGCCACAAAATAATTTTTCATGCAGGAAATTTCAAATGTGGTGTGATTCAGTCTTCAAGTGTCAATATCTGTTCCTACACCTTCAGGGATCTTTTTTTTTTTTTGATTACCAATGTAAATAGTTTTCAATCATAAACATGAGGGGCATCCAAGCTCTGTAAAATATAGCCAAGTCAAGTACTAAAACTGAGCAGAGCCCTTTGACATGGCAATGCCAAGGGGCCAGGTGTCTTGCTACTTAAACACTGCTCCATACCTGTTCATTTTCTATCAGGTCCTGGCACTCCCCAGAACCCAAAGAGCATGTGAACCATAGTATCCACACCAGTAAGCTGCCTGTCTCATTCAAAAACCTGCTGTACTGGGCAAATCAATGTTTTATGAGTCTGCTACCCTGTATCAGTCAACATCAGCTCCTGGTGCTAGAGATCATGAACAAGGACTCACTGCATCCCCAGGACAGCAAGAGGAACATGAACTTCCTCCCTTCCATAAATATATTTCAAAGTGGAAAAACAGCAGGAGGCCTAACTCTCCCAAGGGAAGACGAATGTTCCATTTCCACCCAGCTTCTCCACACCTGCACCCAATTCCAACCCTGCCCTATGCAGACCTGCACATGCAGTTACCAGAATGAGACTCATGCAATTGTTTCCCCACAGCCTGAGAGCAATAGTCATGCCAAGCCCCACCCATGTGCCTCAATAGAGTCATGCAGGAGACCATCGTGTACCTTTCTTTTTCCTCTTCCTCCTCCTGTTTCCTTTTAAGCTCCTCCTCTTCTTGCCATTGTCTTTCCTCTTCCTCCCTTCTGATCCGTTCTTCCTCTTCTTGCCGTCTTCTCTCCTCCACCTCCTGTTTTCGTCTCTGTTCCTGCTGCAGCAGGTGCCGATGGAGGCTGCGAGCCAGTTGGCCACGCCAGTGCTTCTGCAGGACAATAGCAGAGGCCTTCAGTCGCTGGAGGGCCTTCTTCCAGAAGTGAGCGCGGTAGTTCTTCTGGATGATCACGACACTGGCTAGCACCTTTCGATACTTCTTCCTAAGAGCAAAACCAAGCAGTTTCTGTGATATAAGTTGCAGCCATGAAACAACTTTCTAGGGCAGTGAGGGATTCTCCACTGCTGGAGATTTTTTTTTTTTTTTTAAATCAACACAAGGTGTTTTCTTCTAAAAACAATACTTTGGTTCAAAAATAAATCAATGCAGGCAAATCCTACAGCTCATATTATACAGGAGACTGCAAGGGAAGACCACAATGATCCTTTCCAGATTCATAGTCCAAGAAAGGCTAGGGTGGCAGCAGCCTAGCACACCGGCTTGCCCTTCCCCATGTGCTCCTGGAACCTCTATAAGAAAAATACCCCTTGCATCCACTGCACTGGGCCTTGGACCACCTTCAAACTACACACAGCCCTGAGACAGATCATCTGGCATTAGCATGAACCTCTGTGCCTGCACTGTGCTGGCCACAATGAGGCCAGGTGTCCACAAATAGCAGCTGGGACCGGGATACTTTAGACATCACTGATTTTCCGTCAATATCAGGCCAAGAGGAGGAAACAGGGTGGAGAGGAAGAGTGTGACAGAGTAGGAGGTTCAAAGGAGTAGTACCTGGGCTGCCCCATCTCCCCCTCCCCCCCCCAGTGGGGTGCAAACAGCCTCTGCTAGAACATGAGAACTGGGTCAGACCAAAGGCCTATCCATCCCAGCAGCCTGTCACCAACAGTGGCAGGTAGCAGATGCTTTAGAACAGGGTCAACAACCTTTTGCCATCACAGGTCAGAGCTTGTGACCTGGCACCTGTCAAACTGCTCGTGTTCACCTTCCTCATCAATCCTGGCCCCTCTGCAGGGAGGGTAAGCACAGGCATGAGAGAGCAGCAGAGAGGGCTGTGGAGGGGCACTGCCAGGGGCATGGGAAGCCTCAGAGCAGGTGTGAGCCAACTGATCCAACATGCTGGCCCAGGCCAGGTTGGACCGTGACAGCCTATGGGCCATGGCCCATAGGTCGTCAACACCTACTTTAGAGGAACAGTATAAGAAACATGGTAGAGAGATCCAGCCCCTGTCCTACCTTCCCAGACACCAGCAGCAGGTTACAGCTGGCCTGTTGTGGTTAATACTCCCTAATGAACCTGTCCATTATAACTGCGTCTACTACCCTTTTGAGTCCAGTTATACTACTGGCCTCCACAATATCCTGTGGCAGTGAGTCCCACATGTAAATTAAGTGCTGTGTAACTATGTACTTCCTTTTGTTTGTTGTAAACCTGCCTAACGATAACTTTATGGGGTGTCCCCTAGTTCATGTATGAGCCATAAATAACAGTCCCTATTCACATTTGCTACACCGTTTGTGATGCTACAGACCTTTAGCAGGACTTTTCCAAGGTAAGGAGATGCACCCTTTTTAGTTTCTCTCTGAGTACAAACCTATTTCATATCCCACAGTGTCCTGGCTCACCTCTGCTGCGTCTGTTCTAGTATGCCCTTTCTGAGATGGGGTGACCAAACCAGTAGACAGGACAAGACACAAGTGCACCATTGAACATGCACGGCTGTGCCCTGCCGCCTGTGACCTCCACAGCACGCCCTTCCACTGGGGAGCCTGCTGCTCCACAGCACTGGCACCTACTTTGCTGCAGCAGGGTTGGGCAGTAAGTGCTAAGTCAGAGCCCACCAATGTGTGCGCATCATTAGGGAATGACAACAGGAGCCAAATCTCCATTCCATGAGATCTTTCTGCAACTCTTCCCTGTTCAGATCTGGATTTGACTGCCCACAATAATTCTGTAGCATCAGCAGACTTTGCTGCCTCACTCTTCACTCACTTTCCTGAATCACTTATGAACATGTTGAATAGCACAGGTCCCTGCACAGACCTCTGAAGGACCCCACTGCTTACCCTCCTCCACTGTGAAAAATGATCATTTCGTCTGACTCCTACAGGACAAACTAGGGCAATTAGTGACAGATAGGGAGGACATGGCTGAGCTCTCAATGAGCTTTGTGCTTCTGTATTCCTGAACATAGATCAAGACAAATCTCCCAATTGGAACATAGAGAGGCACAAAAGAGACACTAGCCCACAGACTGTTAGCGACGACTTGGTGAAGAGGCACTTGGAAGGGCTGGATGTGTTTAAGTCAGCAGGCCAGGATGATCTTCATCCAAGGGTGCTGAAGGAACTGGCTGGTGTCATAGCAGAGCCACTGGCACGGCTGTTTGAGCACTCACAGTGCTCAGGTCAGGTCCCAGAGGACTGGAAAAGGGCCAATGTGGTCCGTATTTTCAAGAAGGGGAGGAAGGAGGATCTGGGTAACTTTAGACTGGTTAGTCTCACCTCTATCCTTGGGAAAATCTTTGAAAAAAATTTTAAGGATCACATTTGTGGAAGTCCAGCAAAAAAAATAATGCTGAAGGGCAACCAGCATGGATTCATAGCAGGTAGATCCTGTCTGACTAACCTTGTTTCTTTTTATGACTGGGTTACAAAATGCTTAGACACAGGAGTTGAGGTAGATGTCATTTACTTGGATTTTAAGAAGGCCTTCAATACAGTATCTTATCCTATTTTCATAAATAAACTGAGCGGCTGTGACATAGATGATTACATGGTCAAGTGGGTGGCAAATTAGCTTAGGGGTCACACCCAGAGAGTAGTGGTGGATGGGTCAGTATCGACCTGAAAAGATGTGGGCAGTGGAGTCCCACAAGGCTCAGTCCTTGGATCTGTGCTGTTCAATGTCTTCATCAGTGACTTGGATGAGGGCATGGAGAGCACTCTGTCCAAATTCGCAGATGATACCAAATTATGG